ATATAATAAAAGGCTAAAATGCAAATTGTCCCCTCGACCAGGAGTTCAACCAACAGGCAGGCTGGCCAACCACTCATGTCCCCTTCCCCTGGCCAGGCTGGCCAGACCCCCACCCATGCATGAATTCATGTACCGGGCTTCAAAAAAAAAAAAAAAAAAAAAAAAATATATATATATATATATATATATATATATATATATATATATACACACACACACACACACACACACACACACACACACACACACACACTGAGTGGCCAGATTATTATGCATTCAGAGATTATAATAATCTGGCCACTCAGTGTATGTTAATGTGCGTGTGTGTGCGTGTGTGTGTGCATGTGTGTGTGTGTGTGTGTGTGTGTGTGTGTGCATGTGCACGCACTTTAAAACCTCTATTTATGCCAAAACCAGTTTGGCTCAGTGGATAGAGGGTCAGCCTGTGGCCTGAAAGGTCCCAGGTTAGATTCTGGTCAAGGGCATGTACCTTGGTTGCGAGCACATCCCCATTGGGGGAGTGTGCAGGAGGCAGCTGATCGATGATTCTCTCTCATCAATGTTTCTAACTCTCTATCCCTCTCCCTTCCTCTATTTACTTCTGTGACCTCTACAGAAAAAATAAAAAGCATATCACTCCTAACTTGTAGAGCACAGAGAAGTACTTAGTCCATTGTAGATATAAAATAACTATTTGCTATACCAATGTGGAAAAACATGTCAGATATTGAATGTAGACCAGGTATCCACTGAAATGTGCTGTCATCTAGCCCATACATATTTCTCCATCTTATTTATAAGGCTACTAGCGACCCGATGCACAAAACTTGTGTAAGGGCCTTGGCCCCGGCCCCTGCCCACCATTGAGACCAAGGGCCTCTATCGCCTCTGCCTTAGCCCCTGCCCGCTGTGGCTTCGTCTGGAAGCAGTGTTTCCCAAAGTGTGGTACGCGCACCCCCAGGGGCACGGGAAGAGTTTGGTGGGGATATGCACTGCGCCGTGCTTAGCTGCTCCTAATTCTACATTCTCATGAGTACGAGGGGTACTCAGCATTACAAAAATTATAGAAGGGGTACACATATGTCAAAAGTTTGGGAAACACTTTCTGGAAGGAAGGATGTCCAGTCTAATTAGCATATTACGCTTTTATTATTATAGATAATCTAGGCGTTGCCAAATGCCTTTCCCATACCAGGATACAGTGTGCCTATAGCATTCCCCTGCTATATCAGAACAGTAACTGTAATCCATCTTAGTTCCGCTTGTTAGAGAGTTAGTGGAAAAAATAATGGCACGTAAGATGCAGATTAAAAGGCACAGTTGTTCAATTTAAATCCTATATCCCCTATGTTCTTAAAAACAAAATGGACATTTGGAGTTATTTGGAAGTCTTTTAAAAGTTCTAAATAGTATGATTAATACTGCCCTAACAGTATCTTATTATTATTATTATTCCTTAATAAAGGAAACAAGTATTTGTTAAGTACATCTTTGAGTAAATCTGAGCATCTGTCTGAAAACAGGCCACTGAACTCTGCCAATTATAAATTATTAAAAGCCATCAGATAATATCAGTACACTAAAGGCCCAGTGCATGAAAATTTGTGCACTCAGGATAGGGAGAATGGAGGGGTCCCTCAGCCTGGCCTGTGCCCTCTTGCAGTCCGGGACCCCTCAGGGATGTCCACCTGCTGGCTTAGACCTCCCTCCCCAGGGGATCGGGCCTAAGCTGGCAGTCAGACATCCCTCTGGCAGCCCAGGAGTCCTCAGGGGATGTCCAACTGCTAAGCTGTCAGTTGGAGGTCCTTAGTGCTGCTGAGGAGATGGGAGAGGTTTCCACCACCACTGCTGTACTCGGAGCCCTCAGCCCAACCTGTGGCTGAGTGTCGCTTCCCCTGTGGGAGCGCACTGACCACCAGGAGGCAGCCCCTGCATCGAGTGTCTGCCCCCTGGTGGTCAGTGCACGTCATAGTGACAGGTCATTCCTGGTTGTTCCACTGTTAGGGTCAATTTGCATATTACCCTTTTATTATAAAGGATTGGTGTTACCCATATCCAATTATCTCTGTTTAATGTAAGCACCACAAAATAAAAGCAACAACCAAAAGATACTTATAAGACATTGAGGCTCTGAGAACCTGATTTCAATGAGCTACAAAGAAATGAAAATTCATTAAGAACTCTGTACTTAACAGAAGGGTTAAATTTGCTACTCAATAGGACCGTCTCAACTTCCATCCTCGGGTTGGTAAGACGGCGAGAAATTGTGCCAACATTTGCCAATCAAGAAATGATGCTGATTTGCAGAAGCACGTGCTTTCAGGCTGTGCCAGACTGGACGTTGCCTGGGAAACTGGCTTCTGTTTCAGCTGGAAGGGGAAGGGTTCCTGTGGCAGGAGTAGTTTGGAATTCTCTATCCCTGGCCCTGCTGTGCTTCTCCTTACCTGTCTTCTCCCCACTGCCACCTTGGGACCAGATTCTGTGTGGTCTCTGATTCCCTGATGTCTGCTTGAATTTGGCACCCTCACTGTGTAGACAGAAGTTAAAAAACAAAACAACAGCCCTGACTGGTTTTGCTTAATGGATAGAGTGCCGGCTTATGGACTGAAAGGTCCCAGGTTCAATTCCGGTCAAGGGCATGTACCTTGGTTGTGGGCACATCCCCTGTAGGTGGTGTGCAGGAAGCAATTGATAGATGTTCCTCTCTCATCGATGTTTCTAATTCTCTATCCCTTTCTCTGTAAAAAAAAATCAATAAAATATATTTTAAAAAAAACAAAACAAAACAACAACAACAAAAAGTAACTGCAAAAGATGTTTGGTTTTACCAATATAGTGTTTTTTTAAGCCAATGTTTTAAAAACAGAATATAGCTCATGAAAATCGATGTATACAGCTTTTTCTTTCTGAGAAATGGGAATATTGAAGCCATATCTCCTCATGAAGCAATTTGCTAGAGCAGAACGGCTGCTGCTCACTTAAATGGCACGTGATCTCCAGTTCGCCACAATCCCCTCTATTCCCTATGGCTCCATCACTGCGGCTAAGTATTAATTTTCCTTTACTACATATTTTTACCTGTGTGTTTTTTCCCTTGTGAAAGAGAGGCATTTCTCTCTTCCTAGAATAAATGACAAAACAAGAGATATAATAAAAGCATTAAGAAGTTCAAGAAAAAAATATACAATATAATTCTTGGAGTAAACAAAGACTACTTCTACATGTTTAACATACAAAGTGAGTACACATAACAAAGCACAAACCCTGCTCATTTTTTCTTATATTTATTACCTAGCCCCTGGAGCCATTGGAGTGGCGCAATGCCAGCCAGGTCTGTGTCTCAGGCATCCAGGTGTTCTTAGAATGTGGATTACGCTCTGGGATTTGACCTCAGTCCCAGCTCGTTGCCCACTGCTGTCTACACAAGAGAAGCAGGTCATATAGCTACAAAGTAAAGGTTTTGGTGGCTCCAATTCGTGTTCCTCATTTGCCTGCCTCATTGTCTGCAAATAAGTTGATTTTTAGAGATGGGCCAAAACATTTCCTTCTAATTTAGCAATAAATGCTATATATTCAGTGATTTTTTTATTTTATTTTAGGATAAAAGAATCTGAATATACGAGCTAGTTTTCTCCCTAATCATTTCATCTTTCTTCTAATTGAGAGTATGTGTAGATTACGCTATAATCATCAACTAATTTAGCCACTAGTTATTTTTATTTTATTTTAAATATATTTTATTGATTTTTTTTTTTTTAACAGAGAGGAAGGGAGAGCGATAGAGAGTTAGAAACATCGATCAGCTGCCTTCTGCACACCACCTATTGGGGATGTGCCTGCAACCAAGGTACATGCCCTTGACTGGAATCACATTTGGGACCCTTCAGTCCCCAGGCTGACGCTCTATCCACTGAGCCAAACTGGTTAGAATAGTTATTTTTATTTTTAATGAAAAAGAAGGAAAGGGAGAGGAGGAAGAATAAAGAAAAAGAAACAAATCCATACTCAAAAAATATTAATATTGTCAATAGTTGGCATGAGGCCTAGGGTGTTTTGCTCTATCTCCTCTCTCCTCGGTAATCCCTTAAACCTCCTGGAGACAAGGCAAAAGTTCATTTCCATTTTCTGCATTCTCTCTTTACATGAATTTACTTTTAAAAACTTAGCATTTTTAAAGGACCATATGTTGGAAAGGAAAGGGAGGAAATAGACCTCAGTGTGGTCGTGGATGCTGCTCTATCTCCGCCCTCCACTGTACACCCCCAGAAGCCAACACCCCCAGGTGACTGTGGCTTAGCCTGTGTTGATTCACGCCATCAGTAGATGGGTGTCTGAATGGCGAGGGACTTTGACAGACTCACCCAGAAAAGCTGGAGCTGGAGCCAACTTCATTGCTATGGAGCAAAATGCTGGGAGGGGTTTTGCATGGGATGTTAGCACATGCTGACCAAAGATCTCATTCTGAGAAGGTGCAGATGGTTACCTGGTGGTCTCCAGCTGAGGCCTTCAGGGAAAAACCTAATGGGATCCTAGGTGGTACCCCGTGGTCAAGGCACCAAGACATCAAAGGCTTTTGGCCTGAAGGTGACAGAGTGGGGGCTAAAGTAGTTTTAAGTCTTTGCTCAAATATGTAAAATAAACCACAGTGTCATAGCAGTGTTGGTTTGAATGAGCCTGTTGGGTTGGTTGAGGTGGAGTGGGGAGCTGGCAGCCTGTATGTAATTAGCTCCTGAAAGAGGAAGCCCTGAGCCACCTCTACAGAGCAGCCTGAGGCCACAAGGGCATGCCCTCCAGCTGGCTGAGGCCGCCCCCGCGCCAGCCCGCCCCTGCCTGCTGACGGAAGTGCTGTCTCTATCCCGATAGGACAAGAATGACCCGGCCAATCGACAAGGGGCCAAGAGGAGCTACCAACCGCCTCTTCCTCCTCTTAGCACGGATGACAGTGGGGCATTTCCTCTGAACTCCCTCCCTTCCTCCTCTGGACTAAGCCATGAGGGGACATGACAATAAAGGAATCATCGTTGCATAAACACGTAAGTATGCATTCCTCCTCATCAGACACAAACGCAAGGTAAAGAACCTGCATTGGGCTTGTGAGCTGGGTCCCCTATTCATTTTAAGTTTTTATTGATTTTTTTTTAAAGAGAGAGGAAGGGAGATAGAAAGACAGAAACATTGATGAGAGAGCAGCGTGGATCGGCTGCCTCCTGCACACCTCCCACCAGAGACTGAGCCTGCAGCTCAGGCATGTGCCCTGACCGGGAATCGAATCGGAAACCTGGGTTAACACTCAACCACTGAACCACACCGGCCAAGCTGGGTCCCCTATTCTTAAGACATCCACTGAGAGAATTTATTCAAACAAAGCATTTTGGTTTTTTAGTGTGGTTGTTTTTTTCACTTGAAGACATACTAAGCTCTTTCTCTAGTTTTCTTTAACAAACTACATAAGGTTTGCAGATTTTTTTCTTTGCCTACTTCCTCCTGAAATGTAAGTCTGTGGTTAATCATGCTCTGTGAAAGACAGCTTCTCCTTCAGACTGTGAGCTAACACAGCTCTCGGAATAATATCTTGCATTTTGCTGTTGGGTGTGTTTTTCTCTGAGGAGTGTCAGCAATCAGAATAAAATACTTAGTAAATGAGGTCTAAGAAATTTCCTCAGGATCTCGATTCCGTGACTCCACCAAATGCCTAGGATTCACGGGTCTGATGTCACCAGACACATGCCTGAAACCAGAACAGTGACAGGTTCGGTGATGAGCTTGGTGCTTTCATCTCGGTGCCAGCCTTTGTGGCCCTCCACCCAGCAACAAAACAGCCTGCTTGGCTTTGCCAGTGTTTCCACTTCCGTTTACATCACCGTTCTCTGTGGCACCACAGTCGGCACGGAAGTGGCACCTGTACAGGAGGCGGTGGTGCGGTGCCCGGGGTTGGGGTTGGGCAGAGAGCAGGGGCAGGCTGACCTACGTGGGCTGGATCTAGATCTAGCTACTTTGTAGCTGACAGGCCTGGGGCCAAACCTGACCCTCTGGAACCGCTTTCCCTCGTTTCATATCCTCATGGAGACAGTAATACCTAACCTGCAGGGTGGTTTAAAAGGTAACAACCAACGGCCATAAGATGCCAGGAACATAAAGCAGGCTCCCAGTAAAAGACAGCAATTATTATTAGTGTTGATGTTGTAAAAAGTGTTAATACACTTAAAGTGCTCAGGACAGCGTACTCGGTGTTTGTCATTTATTAATGTGATCCGAGGGAATCGGGTGCCTTATCTATTTGGGACTCACGGGGGGGTGATGCTATGTGTTTGGCTAATATGCCCGATTCGGAAAAGGCAGAAGGTTTGGTATTTTCTGGAGGATTTTGATATGATTTAACAAGTTAATTCCCCCCGAGAAAGGGAAGTGAAATTAGATGATCTGCATCTGAGAAAGAGCCAGGACTGCGGGTTAGAGCACGGGGTGGAGGAAGGAAAGAACATACGTGGGAAGATGAACTAGGAAGCCACGGCGGGACTTCACATCTGCGCGGAAGTAGCGGCAGCAGGAAGAGAAGTGGACTAGGCAGAGAGCGAGGAGGAGGCAATGGACTCAGCTCCTGATGGAGGAAGGGAAGGGAGGAGTCACAGATGATCCTGCAATCTCTGTCGTGGAGCAATTAGGTGGAGAGTGACTTCCCAGACTGAAAAGAGAAGCCAGGGGTAGATTGGATCCTGGCATCATCACAGGGTTTCCTCAAGCAGCGGCAAAGAGACATTTCTCTATGCTTAGCTATTTTGTCATGTACTTATTTTGTTTTTTAAAATATATTTTATTGATTGTTTTAAAGAGAGGAAGGGAGAGGGATAGAGAGCTAGAAACATCGATGAGAGAAACATTGATCAGCTGCCTCCTGCACACCCCCTACTGGGGATGTGCCCGCAACCAAGGACATTCCCTTGACCAGAATCGAACCTAGGACCCTTGAGTCTGCAGGCCAATGCTCTATCCTGTGAGCCAAACCGATCAAGGCTTTTATTGATTTTTTACAGAGAGGAAGGGAGGATAGATAGTCAGAAACATTGATGAGAGAGAAACATCCATTAGCTGCCTTCTGCACACGCCCTACTGGGTATGTGCCCGCAACCAAAGTACATGCCCTTGACCGGAATCAAACCTGGGACCTTTCAGCCGCAGGCTGATGCTCTATCAACTGAGCCAAACCAGTCAGTGCATTGTCATGTACTTTAAAACTACTCCATAGCTTGCATCACCAAGAATAAGTCTCTATGTGAAAAACAAACACAGCCTTTTGTCTGACACCAATATATAAGATGACTGAGTCCATAGTTATGCAACTCTTAAAAATCATGACTAAGAAAATAGAATGCTGACATATGATTCAAAGATTTACAGTCATGGCTTAATTAAACTGGTAAACATCAGTAGTGAAAGTGATTTCTATAGTTCTCCTTCATTCATTTAAATGTATTTTAGAGACTCAACAATAAATATAACTAGAGGCCCGGTGCATGAAAATTTATACCTCAGCCCCGCCTGCCCCCTCTCACAACTCGGGAGCCCTCAGGGATGGGAGGTGACCTGATCAGGGGAAGTCAATGCCCCCATCGCACCTCTGCTGTTGCCACTGCTGGCAGTGTAAGTCTCAGCCAGCCCTGGTTATCTGAGCCTCAGGCAGCCCTTGGCAGCTGGGCAGCCGCCATCCCAGGCTTGCCTGTGCCTTGAGCCAGCCCTGGGTGGCTGGGGACTGAGGGGACTGGGGGACTCTGGAGACAGGCACAAGGAGTGGCCGGACCTGCCTGGGAGCGGGCTCAGCCTTGCAGCAGACCTGTTGCCCTAGCAGGGCTGAGGGGACTGGGCACCACCATTTTTGAGGGTGTGGCAGTAGTTAGCATATTTCCTCCTTAATGGCTGTGGGTGCCTCCATCTTTGCGATGGCATGAGGGTCAATTAGCATATTCTCTCTTTATTAGCTAGGATAAGGAAAGAAGTGCCCCAAAGGAGGAAGGAAGGCAACAAGGAAGTAACCAGTAACATCTTTGTATATAATTTGGAAAAATATTTTAAAAGCTGGTATTTTACCAGAATTTAATAGTGATGCACAATAGATTTTTTAAAATAAATGATGCACTTTGGGTCAGTCATTATATTTACAAAACAAATATCCATCTGAAAAAAAGTTTGGCCAGAAGCCACATTCACAGCGCCATTTTCAATAAAATTTTAAAAATCCCTTTTCAGAAATAGAAGTGATTTCCAACATTATCATTATCTGCTTCTGCGATTTTCCCTCACTGACTGAGCTCCTAAACTCACAGACCCTGTCTCACACAGCCTCAGGTTCTGGGTGCCAACCACTGTGTCTAGCATGTAGAGGCACTCAGGGAAGTTTTATCTAAGGAAGCGAGGAAGGAAAAGCAGCATGCAGCAAACACAACTGGACAAAGCAACTTCATTGCAGGAATTTAGCAATTGAAATTATTTAAAATTTGGGAGCTTATTTTTTATACATGTACTATGACTGAGTTACAGATACCTTTGAAAATAAAGAAAATGATTGCATCCATAATCCTACCATGCAAATGCATGAAGAGTTAGCATTTTGGTTTTAGCAAAAAAGTAATGCTATCGCTGTTAGACTTAATTTCTAATGCCACAGACAAGCGTGCTTTTTTGGGGGAAATACCATATTTTAAAAACTGACAGTGTTTTGGATAGTGCTCTCAAATATGACAAGGTGAGAAGAAAAACATAAGGCATGTTAAAGAGAAATTTTAAAAATGCAGATCATGAATATGAAAGGGAAGGGAAGATTCTTAGCCAGTCTCAGATTAGGAGAGAGATGATGCTCCTAAAATATTTCTGGTTTAGGATGAAGGGTTTTTCATTTGCATAGTTTATGCTAACTTGGATTGAGGAAAGGAAAATGTGTTGCAATTAATAAAAAGCTAAATCAATTAACTGGTAAAACCAAACATAAATAGACTATCTGAGAGCTACTGGTCTTCCATTTGGCAAAGCAATGCTCTTATAAATGTGGTAATAGGGTGAATTTTAGAGAACTGGACAATGAGTATTATCCAATCTTTAAAAAGGAGGAAATTGTCACATACTACCACATAGATGAACCTTAAAAACAATATGTTAAGTGGAATAAACCAGCTCGGCCAGCGTGGCTCAATGGTGGAGCACCGACCGAACTATGACCCAGGAGGTCAGGGTTCGATTCCCAGTCAAGGGCACATGCCCGGGTTGTGGGCTCCATCCCTAGTAAGGTGGGGGGGGGGGGGGGAGGGCGTGCAGGAGGCAACTGATCCATAACTCTCTCTCATCATGGATGTTTCTATAATAGTTCTCTTTCCCTCTCCCTTCTTCTATGAAATCAATATATTAAAAAAAAAAAAAAGTGGAATAAGCCAATCACAAAAAGACAAATACTGTATGAAAATAGTCAATTCATAGAAACAGCAGGAACAGTGGATGCCAAGGCTACAAAGAGGGACAAAGAGGGACAAAGGAGTTGTTGTTTACTGGATAGTTTCAGATCTGCAAGATGATAATGTTCTAGAGATCATTCAGAACAATGTGAATATACTTAACACTACCAAACACACACTTAAAAATGGTTAAGTGGCAATAAGGAGAGAGAGAGAGAGAGAGAGAGAGAGAGAGAGAGAGAGATGAAATTAAAAACTAAGCCAGTGATTTAGTCTTCTAATAAAATGTAGTATTATTCAGAGGTGAGGGACACTGTTAAACTAGAGGCCAGGTGCATGAAATTTGTGTATTATTAAACTAGAAGCCTCACCAGTAATCAGGGCTGATCAGGTTCCCTACCTCCCTGCCTCCTCCTTCCCTCAGTCCCTCAGTGGGGCCGCCCACCATGTTCCGTGCTGGCCCTGGTGGTCAGTGAATGTCCTAGTGAACGATAGAACTCCTGGTCTCATGGTCTAACTCCTGAGGGGACACTTTACATATTAGCCTTTTATATATCTAGATAATTCGAGGCCAGATTCTCCCAGGGTACTAAATT